GAAAGAATCCGATGAACTATCTTATGAGAAAAAATTCAGACAAGAATCAAACTATGAACAAAACATTCAAAGAAAAGGTATGAAGAAATCCATTTAATCTGGGGCATTTGTTATTGAAAAAATCTTCGAATAAAAACATTTTTTCGAAAAGATGCTCAAAACTTCATAAAACACCATTTGGGAGAATGATTGAAGAAAGAGATGAGATCGGGTGAGAGTTAAAAGTACGTTGAATCCTGATGCCAAAGCTTTATAGTAAAATTTCATTTGAGTGGAAAATGGTCAGGTAAAAGAAAGTTTTTCAAAAAAAACCGTATGTGCACGGGAATGTATCATATATCGCAACTGAAAGATTCGTACTCAGAATGTACTCGCATTATATTTGTGATGCTAGGAGAATTTGTTTAGAAACGCAAGTCCAAAATAAAAATCTGATGTTTTGCATTTGTTGTTGTGAACATAGAAGAGAGACAGCGAAGAATGCTGTATAAATTAATATTAGTAGTCGTATTTGCTATTGTATCGAGTCACACGTTCGACATTAGTAGAGGATGTGTCTCACACTCAAATGAAAGAATACAGAAAGGGACCAGATTGTTACATAACAACATCAGCGGTGATTGATAGTTTTGTTGAAAAGTGTTGGGTTAGGCGTTGTTTAATTAAATTTGATAGTAATATTGAAAAAATGGGAAGGACGCGGAGCGGCAAGTCCTGAGTGGCGACCCGTAGGAGCACTGACGAACTGCTCTCGCTGACGTATTCTGTTACAGAGATGAAACGATTGTACTGCGTTTGCAGTAGAAAATTATATGGAAAACTTATCTTGTTTCGCTGTATCACTCGTTCTGCTAGGAAAAAAGGAGGACACCTTCACCCTCAAGATTCTGGGAAGGCTTGTACTAGTTTGTCTTTTTGCTGATACAAATATAGATTCCGAGAGTGCCGGATCGTGAGTTTTTGTTGGTATGGGATCTTATCTTGTATTTGCGTTAGACTGGTGCGTTTAGTTATAGTTGTTGACATTTAATAACTTTTCAGAGTGATTCTATGGAATTCGTCAAATTTTTTTTTTTTATTTTTTTTTTGCAATTTATTTTCCCTCCAACCCTTGGGGTCCTAAAGGGACAGTTCTCTACCAATATCAAATGTGATGTATAAAGAAAAAGAGAAGAAAAATATGAAGGAAATGCGAATGAGAAACAAAACAAAACAAAGCAGTGAAGATGAATATATAGAATGCTTTGATAAACTAGAGAAGGAACGAGGTACAAGGAAACAGGCGGTAGAGAGGAAAAGAGCGACCTGACCAATTCAATACATCTTGAGTTTTGATCCTAAAAGGATTCGGGAAATTCGGCTAGGCATATAATATCTTCGTTGTCGAATATAGCAATCGAGTCCGCTGTGCCATGGTTTGAAATCCATTCCATCGCACGACTGAATACATCAATGTGTTGGACAAAACGGACAGATCGTCTTAGACATCGAATAGGGCGATTACCATCCCTCCAGGCCAGTCTGTGTTCGTTCAGATACATTTGTTCAATCAGAAGAAACCCGTCTAAAGAGTGGCTCAGGACTTTCAGGTACTTCATCCAATAAGCATAGCAGTTATCGTCGAATGATCGTTCATCGAATGCATATGCGAATAGATGGTTGTTCCATTGCAAGCATCTTAGTGTTCGTTTCAGGACAGTATAATAGAAACGATTGATTCTTGAACGTTGATGATCGGTGAAAAGAGGATGAAGTGCGTACACCCATGTGAAGAACGGAATAATAAACGTTGAGAAAAGAGATCGGCGCAGTCCTCTTGACGTTGCACCATTAAACTTAATCGAGTTGATTATTGCCGCTTGTTGGCGAATCTTCATGAATGTACGATTAATTATTTTTCCCCATCCTAATTTTGTTGTAATCAGATACCCCAAGTATTTGTATGAATTGACCCACAATATCTCTTGTCCACCACATCCTAATCTTGGCATTGGGTCGGGATATGCAACAGCACGCGCCGACCACATAGCTTGAGTTTTCGAGTAGTTGATTGGTTGGACAGAAAGAATTGAGTAGTACTCGAGGTATTCGAATAAGATGGACAGTCGACGCTCCAGATCCATACATTGGTCTGTGTACCTGACACCCATTTGTCCTGCTAACACCGCCGCTAGGTCATCTGCAAAGAAGAACGAGAGAGTTGAGGGCAGAAAATCGCCCATATCGGCATGGTACGTGATGAATAAAGTCGGAGTGAAGCAAGAGCCTTGAGGGCCACCACGCATGACCGAGAACCATCTGGAGCGTTTTCCGTTGATTTCGATCGTACAGCGTCTCCCAAGTAACCACGCTTGGATCCAGTTGACATATGCGAGAGGGATCCCCATTCTACGAAGTTTGCCAATGCAACCCTCGAACCAAATCTGGTCGAAGGCACTCTTGAAATCAACAAACACCGTTGCTACCGGTGAACTATTGGACATGTATGACGATATCTGTTCGATCAGCAGTAGCACCCTTGTTTGTAGGCGATGACCAGGACGAAAGCCCGATTGAGAGTCAGGTAAAATTCCAAGATCTTTTAACACTGATCTAAACCTGTTTAGGAACAGCCTTTCTTGGACTTTAAGAAATGAGTCTAGGAGAGCAATCGGACGAGTAAGATCAGGAGTGCATATTGCGTCTTTCTTGGCCAACAGAATTATTCTCACATCTTTAAAGCGAGATGGCATGAAACACGTGGCGAATGAATAATTGTATAATTTTGACATCAGGTGCCAATACGTATTTGGAATGTGACCAATTAATATAGGCGAGATACCATGCGCATCTATCGACCTTTTCTTCAGTCTTCCCGATAACGATTTGAGTATTTCTGGATAAGTGACAGGTGGTATTGGTTCATGCTGGTTAGTGAACACAGGGATTTCCGTATCCACATATGGATGGGGTCTCATAACTGCTGGTTCACCGAATAGTTTTTCATAAAAGTCGGCTGCTGCTTCAACCATCACCTCCGAATCTTTAGTCACTTCACCATCCGATCTAGTAAAGCCCCGAAGACGTGCCGAACCTACACGAAAATGTTTCTTCACATGGTTCCAGTAGAGTAACGAACCATTCCCTGGTTTATGGCGATTATCAAGATGTTTTGTGAGTTGATCTTGACGGAAAGTTTTAAGTTTGGATCGTGCGAGACTTCGAAGACGTCGAGCCTCTTCTCGGAGATAAATGCATCCTTTTCGACTTGCTTTACATGCCAGATCTCGGCCTTGCATCAGCAGTTCTTGAATATCCTTCGGGATTGATAATCTGGCTTTTTTCTTCAGTATAGACTTCGAACATCGCGCCTTCACCGCAACTAACCATTGAATAAACGCATCATAAGTATCATTCATATCGTTCGTGGACCAGTAGAGTTCCCATAGTCCATATGCGTAAGATAGAAACATATCGAAAGCCTTCCATGACGTTTTTGAAACATATTCTGTTTCGTTGTATTCACAGGATATGAAGCCAATCACTGGTTTGTGGTCACTTCTTGTTGAACCTTCGTATGTGTCCACTGTCACTTGTATACCTGATGAAAAAGCGTAGTCGATTTTGCGCTTTGAACGACGGGATGTACAGGCATCGGTAACATAGGGAGCCAGACCAACTTGATCTGCCCACTTGAGGAGGTCACCGGCTTTATTCTTATCTTGGTCAAAGTCGACGTTGAAGTCTCCGAAAATGACTGATCTCGGTGTAATTTGAGGTGTAAGATCCTCCCAGTCCCAAGTCTTACTGGCTGGAGCATATAAACCAACAATACGTAGATCGTTTTCGAGATGAATATCAATCGCGATAACATTCGGAGTTGTACATTTGATTCGCGAGAACGATAGACCATTTCTGATGAGTATTAACACACCATCGTGGCTATTTTCACCCGCTTGGTAACATGACTGGAACGAGATAAATGTCGCCTCCAATACCGCGAAATCGACTGATCCCACTTCACCTAGAATCATGATATCAAATTGGTACTTGAGGGTGAGAGCTGTAACTTCATTCCATCTTGTTTTAACACCTTGAACATTGAAGTAAAGTACTTGTAATCCTGAGTAATGCATTGGACCGAGTTGTTTCCCAAATGTTGACCATTGATGTAAACAAGATGATATCGAGCCTGCGCCATGCCATTCTTCTACCATTTCTGAAAAAAGATTGAAATCATAATTAGAGAGAACATTTTTTGCTGCTAGTAGAAAATTGAAATCTTTAGTTGTGTGAACAGAAGAGTTTATAACAGGATTAAGCGGTCCGATCATTGTTTGCTTTTTGAAGCTTTGGAGTTCTGTCTAGTTTTCTTGATGAATGGTGCGATGGATGCTTTATGTTCTGGCGATAGATTCGAAATATCATTCAGGGTTTGCATGATAGCCTCGATTGTGTTATTGAGCGTGGTAACCTGTTCCCGTACTTCATGATCGATGTTCTTGACTTGCTTCTCGACGGCTTCAATCTTCTTATTGGATTCAACCAGGTGAGCATGCATCTCCTCTCGAATCACATCAATCGATTCGTGGGTTTTCTTAATTTCAGATTTGATTTCGTTTAGGAATGCATCGAGTTTTTTCGTGAGTGTCGATTCGATCAGTGCTTCTATTGGATAATTTGGTTTTATGCTGTTCACCGGTAACTGTTGTTTAGCAAATGCTAGTGGGTACTCGACAGGGGATATGTCATTGGCATATCTTTTGGAGTTCTCCACAGGATGTTGTAACAGGTTACGCGTGAGCGCCGCACGATAGGATTTCACCATTTGACATTTTGGATCCGATGACTTATGATTTTCGCCGCACCTAATACATTTTGCTTGTCCCGAGCATTCGTGTTCTTTAATATCTCGGTATTTTTCACCACACGTTTTACAGATGGTTTCATCCTTCAGTGGGCAGTTTTTCTGAAAGTGACCTATCTCATAGCAGTTACCACATAATAGTACCTGTGCAGGTGCTAGATATTCGGTGACTTTGTAGTTGATGTATCCTATGTTCATTTGTTTTAGTTGAAGAATAGATTCACGTGTAGTTGCACATGACGTTTCAATCTTTACCGTTGGTACTGGTCGTTGGTTGCGATTCTTCAGCCGAATGACATTAACCACATCGGGATATCGTTCCTTCACATCGTCCACAAATTCCTCCCAGTCCGTATTCAACGAAACATTCAATACAATTAGACATAGTTGTGGTGGGATCGAGGGTTTTTTAATGGTGTATTCGGCTTCAGCTAATAGGCTTGGCCAGCTGAGATCTTTATTTAGAAAACAAAATGCCTCAATGTTTTCAACGAAGACAAGTAAAGAATAGCCATTTTCGCTGAGTTTATGACGATATGCCGCTATTTTTAAATCGAATTTGTGTTCGTTCTTCGCGTGCTTGACAATTTCGTCAATGGCCGATCGGTCCTTGATAGCGGATTTGAAGATTACATGAAAAGGAGCGAACGGATAACGTGTGGTGGCAAAGCTACGAGCAGCAAGCGATATTTCCGATGACGTTTGAATTGTTGTTTGTGCAATGCCTGTTCGGAGAGTTTGGTCTATAGGTATTTGTTTGACGTTTGGTATCTGGTCATTCTTGTGCTTTTTCGGTTGTGTCGATGTTCGTCGTTGATTTGGATGTAGTTGTTGTTCATCGTCTTCATGGTACTCGTTTCGACTTGTGTCCATGGATTTCGAGATTTCTTCAATTTGTCTCTTACTGGCTTGCGCCATCTGTTCATTTTCCCTATGAGACTGAGGAGTTGAAGACACCAATGGATGATTTCCTATCGAAACAGAAGACGGGAGTTCGTCAAATTTGCGACTAGTTTGGAGGATACAACATTGAGACAATTTAAATACACTCGGTATTCCGTGTACTTATCCATTAAAAGGAAACGCTGAGCAATCTGAAAGTATCTGCATTGATTGTGATGACATAAACGAAACATTGTTTTTGCCAAACATGTACTTCATCTGTTGGTGATTCGCATCTAAGTTCACAACCGCTTTCATAACCTTCCAAATCAAAGTAACGGTGAACTCAAGAAAAGTAGTCGGATTCATCATTCATACAACAAACATCTGTGTAGAAGAAAAAATTTAATCAATTCATTGCAATATCCCCGCTTATATGCACTTTCTCGCACGGCAAAAATTCGCAGACGTGTACATGAACGCCTTTGGATAACAAAAAACAGATATACGCCGAACATGAATACAAAGCAACGCGGATCAGGACAGCCGCAGCCTTATTCATCTCACACTCTACCCTTCCAGGATCATTCCGAACATCTCGCATGGCATCGCCATTTTTCCGTAGATACCGAAGTTGCCGGGCAAAATGCCAGCACCTGTCCATGCTTTCCCTTCTTCGTATATACATAGCCCAATTTTTCCCAAATGCCAATAATTCTTTCGTCCACGAGGGGGAGAAGAGCAGCCAAAATTTCATGCGCCTTTCTGTAATGATAGCGTGCTCTTGAAACATCACCGTTCCTCTCCAATACCAGCCCAATACAAACATACGACGCAGCAAGACTAGGATGATTTGGTGGAACTGATTTTGTGTTGATCCAAAGCGCTTTCTCATGATGCTCAAGCGCCTGAGAGTAATTGCCCATCTCATGATGCACTACACCAATGTTAGTATAGGATCTGGCCAAATCTGGATGATTTGGTGGAAGTGATTCTGTTCGAATCGAAAGGGCTTTCTCATGATACTCAAGCGCCTGAGAGTAATTGCCCATCTCATGATGCACTACACCAATGTTAGTATAGGATGCAGCCAAATCTGTATGATTTGGTGGAAGTGATTCTGTTTGAATCGAAAGGGCTTTCTCATGATACTCAAGCGCCTGAGAGTAATTGCCCATGTGACCATGCACCACAGCAATGTTACTATAGGATCCGGCCAAATCCGGACGATTTGGTGGAAGCTGTTGTGTTAGAATCGCAAGCGCTTTTTCATGATACTCAAGCGCGTGAGAGTAATTGCCCATGTGACCATGCACCACAGCAATGTTACTATAGTATCCGGCCAAATCCGGACGATTTGGTGGAAGCTGTTGTGTTAGAATCGCAAGCGCTTTTTCATGATACTCAAGCGCGTGAGAGTAATTGCCCATGTGACCATGCACTACACCAATGTTAGTATAGGATCTGGCCAAATCTGGATGATTTGGTGGAAGTGATTCTGTTCGAATCGAAAGGGCTTTCTCATGATGTTCAAGCGCCTGAGAGTAATTGCCCATCTCACGATGCACTTCACCAATGTTAGTATAGGATGCAGCCAAACTTGGATGATTTCGCGGAAGTGATTGTGTTAGAATCGAAAGCGCTTTCTCCTGATACTCAAGCGCCTGAGAGTAATTCCCCGTCGCATGATGCACCCCACTAATATTAGCATAGGATCTGGCCAAATCTGGATGATTTGGTGGAAGTGATTCTGTTCGAATCGAAAGGGCTTTCTCATGATACTCAAGCGCGTGAGAGTAATTGCCCATCTCACGATGCACTACACCAATGTTAGCATAGGATCCGGCGAAATCTGGATGATTTGGTGGAAGTGATTCTGTTCGAATCGAAAGGGCTTTCTCATGATGTTCAAGCGCGTGAGAGTAATTGCCCATCTCACGATGCGCTTCACCAATGTTATTATAGGATGCACCCAAATGTGGATGATTTCGTGGAAGTGATTGTGTTTGAATCGAAAGCGCTTTCTCCTGATACTCAAGCGCCTGAGAGTAATTGCCCACCTCATGATGCAGCGCACCAATGTTAGTATAGTATCCGGCCAAATGTGGATGATTTGGTGGAAGTGATTGTGTTCGAATCGCAAGCGCTTTCTCATGATACTCAAGCGCCTGAGAGTAATTGCCGATGTGACCATGCACCACAGCAATGTTACTATAGGATCCGGCCAAATCTGGATGATTTGGTGGAAGTTGTTGTGCGACATTTGTAAGTAAGTTCTGATGAAATGCTAGAGCTTCACTGTAATTTCCTTGTGCTCGTTTTATGCATCCAAGTAGGAATGAAACCTTGTTTGTTGAGTAAAAGCTGTTATCTTTGCCATCTGTACCTCTTAGTAAATATTGGCAAAGAGGTTCTGCTGCATTTTGCTGTCCAATGTCGATTAGTAGTTGAGGTAGCGCATAGCAGCTCTGCTGATCAGTGTAACTCTCATGCTTAATATATTGGGTTAGGTTATGTAAATCTTGATCATGGTCAGTGGTAAGTGATAAATGAACCTTATATAGTTGATGAGTGTGATCAATTGGTTGGATTTCATGTATGCGAAATATGGAATGCATCGAAAAGAGGATTTCGTTTTCTTCGGAAAAATTGCTGATTTCGCTTATCGAAGTGAATGGTGTTGTTGTTTGGGTTGGATCTATCTGCATAACAAAAACAATTCCTACGTCGTCGGGATTCGTCGCATTGCTTTCACCAAGTAGATGCGCAACATCATAGTCAGTAGAGGTAGATAGAAAATTGTTGAATGATATCAATCCATGCTTGGCTTTTGTAAGCTGATCAAACGTTGCTTTGGACAACGCTTGTCCTCGATATACTGTAAACGACTGCGGAAACGGGTTATCGAGATATTGTTCTTTGTGTAGTTGTTCAATAGCGCGATGAAGAGCAGTAATGAAGAATCCCATGCGCCGAATAATATCTCCATCGAGTATCCGCAAAGAACGATTGAGCATCGAATAGAGAAAACGATAGTAACTGTAGCACCATATTGGGGACTTTTCATTATAATCACGCTCGAATTGTCGGATACGATTGACAGTTTGTAGATTGTCGGCAACTGTATCGCAACAGTAGTTGCAATATTCGCTGAGATGTTCTTCGTTGTATTCGATAGTCAACATCATGTCCTTCATAATTTGTGTATACATGAAAGTCGGGTCCAGTTTATTCGATTTTTCACCGGGCGTTACGAAACTAATTGGTATATCGCTCTGGTGATGTTGCCGAGTCAGTTGTTGGAGCTCGTGACAGAGAACTGTGACTTCTGTGAAAATACCTTTCACTTTTGACCATGCTTTCTTCCATTCGTCGTCACATGTGATAGAGTTACCAAAAATGAATATAGAATGCAGTTGAGAAATTTCGTGTATACAAGGTATTGTATGTCGTTCAAGAGAAGCTGCGAGAATTAGACAAACTTTATTATCTGTAACGGTGGTAATGAAATCGACACATTCATCACTATCTTCAAAAGTATAGGCAGTACTAACAATATCTTGAAGTTGTGTAGATGTATCTTGAAAATTTGTATCATTAGTTTTCAACCAAATGAAGATAGTGTGTTGTGCCTTTTGAAGATTGATACGTCGCCGCATAATGTCATCGTCACAATTGATATGCTGCAGTTCTTTGACTTTTTCTGTTTGCTTGTAAGACTGGGCTTCTATCAACCCCAATTTTTCCATGAATTAATGTGTAAATATAAGTATATGAGATTGTTTGAAAGTTGCGTTGATAAAAGCAAGCAGATTGATTTGATTTATATAGTAGATACTTCTTTGTTGGCTTTTTCCAACTTCGATCGTATCTTTCTTCTATAGTTAATTACTGTATTAAGGTAAAGACACATGTGACAAGAGGAAAAATCAGTATCGTCAAAATAAAAATGCAAACACATACAGTAGCGTGTTGTCACAGTTGGTTAAATCACTGCAGAAAAGTACATGTGACGTTTGTCATATGTCATATGCAGTCGAGAAGTAGACTTGAGTATCAGTTGATGGGCAGCTGACGTGCGTTTGAATGAATATAATCTTAATGAATACGCGGAAAAGAGTTATACAAAATATCATTAATTTTTCAACATCTCTTACTTAGTGCATAAAACAAACGTTTAGTTGTAACGTAGAGACACTACGGAAACTTCACTTCATGTAGGTACGGAATGTTTTAGAAAATCTAGAATATTATGTTCATCATCTATGTTTGATGTTACTCTTATAAGAGCATCATCAATGATTCACAAAAGACTTTGCAACAGATCGATTACGACTACATTGAACGGCAAATTGATGGAATGTAGTCATTGCCAGAAACTAGGCTAATACATAGGGTGATCAAAAAGTTCTCGGAACAAGACTGTCATTCTTTAGGGAACAATTTAGGAAATGTTCTCTTTATGAATCCTGATAGAGAAACGAATGCTCTATTTTCCTATGCTATTTGATCATGCTTCAACTAAAGTACAAAAATGACTTTTCAAAAAAAGTGGTTCTTCGCGAATGTCTCCTGGTTATAATGCCGCTGTTTTGACAAACAATGAAAAGAAGTTTTCGAATAACTTTTGATAGGAGCAAGATAGAGTGCTGTGGTTTTCACCATCAGAAAGAGCGAGCGAATATGCATCGAATCGCATTCTGCAGACATTTTCATCAAATGTATGCGTGACTTCTCGTTTGGCTTTTTTGCAAACAAGTCTATTACATGAGATAATATGAAGGATTCGTGACGATTTTAAAAACTTGCGCTTAAATTGAAAGTTTTAATCGAGGAACTTGCGATTAATAAAATCTGACATCAATATAAAGCATTGTAGTTGAAATCTGAACACTATTTAATGATTGTGTATGAAAATACTTGGTGTTTTTTCTGTGTCCTATTTCCTGAGGAGAAAAAAATTTTACGATAACTAGGAAACCGAATGAAAAAACTTTAGCTATCGATGTTTGAAAAACAAAAATTACGTGATTCGATGCATCTTCGCACGTTCTTTCTAATGATGAAAACCGCAGCACTCTATCTTGCTCCTATCAAAAGCCATTCAAAAATACCCATCATTGCCTCTATCATTACGAGACGCTTGCGGAGAACCATTTTTTTGAAATACTATTTTAGTAGTTTAGTTGATCAGATAGTATAGAAAAATAGAGCATTCGTTTCTCTATCAGAATTCATAAAGAGAACATTTCCTAAATTGCTCCCTAAAGAATGACAATCTTGTTCCGAGAACTTTTTGATCACCCCATGTACTTATTCGAAATATATTGATGTACGGTAGACACATAAATTTAACGACAGGAAAGGAAACGATCAAATTAGGATGTATTTCATGTCTTCAGAATCGCCTCAGTTTGGACGATTAATCGACGATTTTTTAAATATTATTATTAAACACGTCAATGCCAATGTATCGAAATTGTATACACAATAAGAACAAACAGCAGTTGCTTTAGAACGTCAAAATCGGTTTTCAAACATTCTGTGTAAAGCGCCGCTGGTAGTGTGAAATCGTCAGTTATTTCATTACTTTTCCCTAAGGATTGTCACATTCTTATGATATTATAGTTCGTATTTATTGCGTTCTTTGTCCTTGTCAGTAATTGAAGGTATCATTACCCTTATTTTATGTTAAAAAAATCAGGTTCTTGATCCAATACGTTTTTAATGACAAGAAATTAGACCTTATATAAGCTAGATCAATTTTTGTTATTTTGTAGTAAAGACTTTTCTACCTCTCCGTGACCGTAAATGCGAATACTATTATTGTTGAAATCTTGAAACTGCTTGTAGGATGTTATATTTGCTTTTTTCTTGCAAGCGTTGCTGAAACATATGTGTTTTTACACGCCCACACATAGAGCAAACGGTATGAGCGACAAACGTTAGCATAACTTGTGTTTGCCATACATCGAACATGAAGTAGTAGGTTGTCATAATAAATCAATACCTATCTTAATTGAGTAACTTCAATCGTATATCAAAATTATGATTGCGGGACAAGCCTTATATATGATATTTTGTTATATCATTATTTACCATAGTTCGACAAATCGAATATCAATAATAATATTTATTCATGCAAAAAAGGAACAGTAGAAACTGTTAAGCCTTTTCTTTTTATTGCTCTTACCTTCGAATAACATCCAGAACATTCGCAAGCTTTTCTTTTCTTTTTCGACAATAGTAAATATTAAAAAAAGAGCAATGATTTGCAGTAGCACATGTTTTGATAAAATCTTTTTTCTAAACGACATTTAGCAAACATATCGTCGAGAATGAAAACATCAGAACTTTCATCAGATGATTCAATTTTAGTGCGTATTGTTGATACAATAAAAAAAAGTGATATTGATGAATGGAATTATCGTGGATTAGAACTTTCCAATGGTATATTATGTGTATTAATCAGTCATCCAAAACTTGACAAAGCAGCTGCAGCCATCAATGTTAGTATTGGAGATCTGGGTGATCCAAACGACGTACCTGGTATTGCTCATTTTCTGGAACATATGCTATTTATGGGCAGTAGTAAAGTAGAGTCTCAGATCGTTGGTTACCATATAAAATTTTTATGCATTTCGTAGTATCCAAATGAAAATGAATTTTCCAAATTCATTGAAAATAATGGCGGTATTTCTAATGCATATACAAGTACTAGGGAAACGAACTATCATTTCGATATTAATCCAAATGTTTTGGCTGATGCACTTGACATGTAAATCATTTTCTTTTGCGTTTCTTTTTCAATGAATTATTTGTTGATTTAGATTTGCTAATTTCTTCATTTCACCTTTATTTTCATCGTCATCAGTTGAACGTGAAATTCAAGCTGTTAATTCCGAATTCGAACGATACTTATCTTCAGATGCTTGGCGAATTTCTCAAATGGAAAAATCTACATTAGATCCTGAACATCCCTATTCAAGATTTGGTACCGGAAATATTGAATCTTTACAAACAATACCCAAAGAATCGGGCATTGATATTCGAGAAGCTTTAGTTCAATTTTATGAAGATCATTATTCAGCTAATCGCATGAGTTTAGTTGTATTGAGTAATCGTATGTTTTCAGATCATTTCTTTCCACATTTAAATGATTTAATGATATTTCAGATTCTTTGGATGATCTTCAATCATTTGTTATTAGCAGTTTCAAAGATGTTCCTAATAAACAGTTACTATCTCAGAGATATCCACCGGATCCATTCGGTGAAACTGGACGCAAGGTTATTTGTTCTATTCGTTGTTTCCTCAATTTTTTTAATACTCAAATTTTTCTTTAGACAATTTATTATGTAGTACCAATTGCCGAATCTCGTCAAATGAAGATTAGTTGGGTAATTCCTGATTTTCAAGAGATTTACCGTTGCTTGGTAAATAACAATTTTCTTTTCGAATAATTTTAAAAGGCTAATTGCAATTTGTTTAAGCCAATATGGTATATCTCATTTTTAATCAATCACGAGGGCACTGATTCGCTTTTCTCGTATTTGAAAAGAATGGGCCTCGTTCTTAAAGTAACGTCATATACTGCAGCACAAATTGCACCTGGTTTTAACATTTTTTCCATAAAAATTGAATTAACTATTGACGGATTAAGTAAATTAAATACATTTACTTTATCTCATAGAAATCGTTTCTTTAGAACAATGGGAACGTATTGTTTTTCTTATTTATCAATATATGACAATGATACGTAATGAAGGAATACAAGAATGGATTTTTAATGAAGGAAAAGTAAGATTATAAAGATAAATGTATATAAATTTTTCTTAATTTTCTTTTCAATATTTAGAATATGTTTATAAAACATTTTCAATTCGCTGAAAAAGAATCTCCCTTTGATTTTGTTACAAATTTAGCTAGTCGAATACGAGTATGTTGTTCAGTATTCGAATCATAATCACAATCGATTTCATTTAGGATTATTCATTAACTGATTGTTTATTTGGTTGTTATGAACTACGAGATTTTCGAGAAGATCTCATTCGTCAACTACTCGATGAATATTTAATTCCAAGCAAAATGAGGCACATTGATTACTAAACAACATTACTTTTGTTTTATTATTTGTATTATTTACTTAGAATATTTCTTATTGGAAAAGAATTTTCGTCAATAGCAACTGAGAAAGAAAAATGGTACGGAACGCAATATAAACGAGAAGATTTATCAGAAGACTTTGTTAAAGTGAAGGAAAGAATTTTTAGTTAATATGAACAATGAAGACTCTTTTCTAGAAATGTGAAACATGCGGAACTATTGATGATTTTAAATTACCATTACCAAATGATTTCATACCAACTGATTTTCAATTGTATCATCGTCAAGAAGAAACATCGATAATAACACGTCCACAATTACCAAAAAAGATAAAAGTAAAAGAAAAATCATTTATATTCTTCTAGTAAAACTATATACATCAACGTAGGAGAATGAATATTATCGACTTTATTATACTGAAGATCGATTTTATAAATTACCAAAAGCTTTTCTTTATTTTGATTTGTCGAAGTAAATATTTTTATAGAATAGAATCCATATATTATTCTTCGTTTTCTTAAGTTCTTTAGTTAATATCGATCCGAATCATTTGATTATGAATAGAATTTATGTTGAATTAGTCACAGATTCACTTTCTAGTCTTACGTATCCCGCACGACGTGCTGGCATTTATTACGAACTTTCAGCTTCATCATATGGTATTGAGGTATATGAAACTCTTTTGTTTTCAAAAAATCATTTAGGAAGATATTTTGTTTCTTCTCTCTATTAGTTAAATATTTATGGATTTAATCATAAAATTGGTATTTTACTCGAAAAAATCATTGATCATTTGATAAATTTAAAAATTGATCAACAACGATTTGAAATACTTCGAGAAAATGTAAATCAATTTGAAATCTAAAACCAAATTGTTTTCGATTTGTCATTTTTTTCTCTAATCAAAAGGAAAAACAACGTTTGAAAAATTACCATGTCGATGAACCTGTTTCAATGGCGAGTTGTGGAATTTATTACTTAACATCACAATATCAATGGAATAATGATGAACTATTAAATTGTATTGATGGTAAACGATTTGAACAGTTAAATAACTATCTAAAGAAATAATAAGATTGATTTTATTCTTTTAGATATCACATTACACGATATGGACACGTTTATACGAACTTTATTTACTCGATTTTATGTTGATTCGCTTATGTATGGTAATATAACTGAAAATGTAAGTATCATTTTCTTGTTATGTTTTATTATTTAAATAGATATTTTCTTCATTGTTTAGCAAGCAATTGAATATATGACAATTTTTCAAAGGAAATTTCATGAAAAACATCTATTTCGACCACTTTTCCCCAGTATGTGGTTCATTCGGCGACATCTTATGTTACCTGATGGTACATATCGAAATAAATATTTTATTAATAAAAATGATTTTATTGTTATCTTAGGCTGTAATTTTGCATATACGATGCTTAATGATGGATATCGTACCAATGCTATTCACGTTTATCTACAATGTTTTCATGAAACCTTAGAAAATAATGCGTTAATTAATCTTTTTGTTCAACTTATTCAAGAATCATGTTACAATCAATTACGTACGAAAGAACAATTAGGTTACATTGTCCGTTCTGGTGTTCACAATACACAGGGTGTATATGGTGTTGAAATAATTCTACAATCAAATAGTGAACCTGAATATTTAAATCAAAGAATTGAAATATTTCTGGATTCAATTCGAGATTATTTTGAACAAATGTCGAATGATGAATTTGAAAAGCAACGTAATGCTTTTATTATAAAATCTCTTGAAATATCAAAGAGAATGGAAGATCAAGGGGATATTTTTTGGTCAGAAATAACTTCTCACGAATTCTGCTTTGATAGACGTAAGATGTCGAAATGAGCAAAGATTTTCAACGAAAAAACAATTGCGTTTTTCATGGTTTTTTTAGCTCCACTTCTAAGTGAAATTCTTAGAAAATTTGAACGTAAAGATTTAATTCAATTTTATGATCAT